TGTGCAAAAAGAGTACAGTATGAACAATAGCTAAAACTGGAAAGGTAAAAACGAAGCACTTCACCACACCACAATTTAGTAAAGTCCCCCCCCCCCAGAAAAAGGATAATGTAACGGTAACTCACGAATAGCTCATTTATCACCTACGAAAGATGTGATTTACAAATAGTGAATTAATTAAATCATGTTTTTCTTCTGGAAGCCTGAGAAATGTGACCAGAGAAAATGGATTTGTTTCGATCTGTCAGCTTTTCGGTGAGAAGAGCAGTTAGAAAAGTTCAGGACATCAAGAACACAGTCAAACGTCAATTGTAAAACAAGACAAAATAATTTGAAGTAGTCTTCGTTGGCTATTGATTCTCCATAGAAATTACTGTATTGCCCAATATCTGCTGTTTATTCAAGAGCTCAATAATAAACTTCAGTGAAGAATTAGTTTCTGTAAATAGTTTGCATAACAACTACAGACAAAGATACAGTGGAGGAAAAAAGCATTTCAACAATACAAATTTATAAAATATTTGTATTGCAAATGGTGTAAGTTAAATTCTTATATAATAACTGGTTCACATAATTTATGTAATAAAGAAAAAAATTGAGTGTTTGTTGTCATCCATAACATACAAATGTCAAGATATGAAATATTCAAGGGGGAAAGAGTATTTTGTCTAAATAATTATAACTTAAAATTCAATGAAACCAATACTAAAAATAAAACTTAATATTTCGCAAAAAGTCCAGTTATCTATAACAGTTAGAAGAATCAATTTTAAGAAGACTGCAGCTTGTAGTCTTCTTGACAATGATCCTACTAATTTCTTGATTAGATCTGAGGATATATTTTCCCATGTTTTCAAAAGAATATTTTTGAATTAATTTTTATTTGAAAATTAATCTTTTCTAGCTTTTGTGGTATCGAAAAAATATCACAAATTATCACTCGGACCAAGAAGATGAATTCTTTTGTAACTGAGCGAGAGGCATTGGGAAAAAGAGAAGAAAGAAAGTGAGCAGAAGTAGCTTTTGGAGAATGGAGTGAAAGATGTTGGGAAATGGCTCCACATGTAATCAGTTTCTTTCTGTACTCGGCAAGTGAGATTGTGTAATGAATCCCCCTTCCCAAAATGGCTTGTGGTGACTTTGAGCATCCGTCTCTTGGACTTAATACTGTATGCACTAAATTCAATTAACATTGAAGAGGTAAAATTTTGAGAGCTAATTTTTTAAAAAAACTGCTCGTGCAATTTTTACAAAACTTGGCAGTTTAGAATAATTTGAGTCGTAGAATCGAAATATTGAAAACACTTGCATGTCATTTCGAAAAAGGTCCGATTTTGTGTCAAAATACCTATGTTAGAATAATGCTATATATAAATCTAATATATATCCCAAGTTACTCTTTCGAGACATGAAAAACAAAATTTTAATTTCGTCAATCGGCCCAGTAGAACAGGAGCTACAGAACTGTCCCCCCCCCCATTTTTGCACACTGTACCATGTGATGTCTAGAACACTGAGGCATATTGACAGTATTTCTTGTTCATCATATTACTACATGAAAACACATTTTTAGTTTCCCTAATAAATGTATCACCAACCTTCAGTTAGATTTCACTTAATAAAATACTTACGTTTCTTTCAATAACAGTACTTTTATTTTGAATATATAAACAGCCCCAGCAGCGGCTGAGTGGAAAGACTATTGAATGCTCAACTTTGGTATAAACGGGCTGGCTTTCCCCATATGCAACATAAAGATGAGCCAGTTTCTCTTGTTTTGCTGTATTCAAGTGACCTAAACCAATAAATGAAATCTAAATATGGAAGCACTACCACCACAACCTATCAGCATAAACAAAATTTTCTATGGAAAATATAAAAACGAAAAGAAATATGTATGAGATAACAGCAATGTTTGAGGAAAAGGAATTCTAATTCACTTTTTTTTTTAAATAAACAAGAGCTTGAATAAAATGGAATTATTCAAGTTCTCTTGTAAGCACTGTTTTTTAAATCTCATTTATAGTTACTTTCTTCATGTCTAATGATGTTTATGCTGCCATTATTTACCTGGTTTTGAATACTGATTTAATTTATACAACCAAATATAACTTACTTTTCAGATTAAAGGTTACATCTTTTTCTGTTTATTACTTGGGCATACTTGCCAACCCATTGTTGCCAACACTGAAAATCCTCTCACACTCTGCATTACTATGGGGAACTGTCAAGATGGCCAACATAATTCTAGGCAGTTCACTATATTTTAAAATTCCATCAGCACCTTTCAGTTTTCCAATTATCCACTGGGTGTCAACCCTAGCTGATTTTATAACTTCATCCAACTTTTCTAATTGTAAACTGCAATTATCAGTGGCAACATCAATATCATCATCTTTCATGACTAAATGAAGTAACACAGGAAATCTGTCCAAAAAGTACCTTATATCAGAAAAAGATGCATTTGCTAAAGCAGAAACATCAGCAATTTTAGCATGCAAAATCACTTCATCGTTTGACTGGAAATTTATGTAGTATGTAATCACATGCTCGACAGAAGTAACTTCTAACATGAAGATAAAACTTATTTTTGTCTTCTTCTGAAAGTTCTTTCACTACTTTTGTAGTTGCAGCTCCTATTACCAAATCTTCATCTTTCTTCTGATTTTCTATTTCACCATAAATCACATCATATATACAATCACAAGCCTCCAGTAAAAAGGCAGAGAACAGACATTCTGCATTAATAACTTTTTGGTCCTCTGTTTCCAAAGAAAAAATTTTCATTTTTTTCAAAACAACTCATGTTGTCCTTGTGTATGCACATGTTTGAGAACATCCGCCCTTCCACCTAGTGAAATCGAAAAATCGCAACGACAGACGGTACACCTCGCAAATTTATTACATTTCCTTGAGGAAATAATATAAGGAAAGTCAACTGTGTACGATTTTTGAAACATACACGAGTATTTCACCTTTCTTGCAGACATAACAAAAGATGATAATTTCTAAAACTATTTCCCGAAGGCACGTGTACTCACACAACTCAGGACAAGATGAACGAAATAACTAAAGAACATTCAAAAACAACCTTGAGCTTGCTTTGTGCTCATTTGACTAATATATGCCAGATGACCCACAGTGGAGTTCAATGCCCATTGGAGAACGACATTTCTGGATTCATATATATAATTGCAGACCTAGTTGTAGCAAGGGAAAAGGAAGTATAAAGTTGTAACATGTGACTTACTTGACCAAAAATTTCCAACAAGAGGACAGGACAACATAGGTAAATTAATTAACCATCAAGACCTAGAGATTTCATCTTTGGAATGTTGTTACTAATAAACTTTCTCCAGAAAGCCACACACTTTACATGATGTGATTCATTTCATAAGAGAAACCTGCCATAAAACTGATAAAAATAAACTTTGTCACAAAGTGCGCTTCAGCGTTTAGTCAAGACTATAGGCGTTCGAATGTATGGCAAAGAAAGATAATTTTAACATTTAAGAAACATACATTCAAAATGAATTTACAATGAATAAAACTACTGTATTATAATACTATTTTCTTTACAGTATTATAATTTCTATTTTCTTTGCAGGTTTCGTTACTGTATGCCTACTTTACCCCAAATCATTCACTTTTTTGTTCACATGTAGCTAAAAACATTAGAAGCTGTCAAAAAAAAAAAAAAAAAAAAAAAAAAAAAAAAATCTATTTAAATCAAGAGAAACACTTATGCAAAATTTTAAATGAGGCATTAAGGGGGGGAGCAATCTTCGTCTGCCCCAGCTAATAAATAAAACTATTCATTTAACCAGAGGAACCAAACATAGGTGCCTCTTCAGATTTTTGAGGCAGAAGAGGGACATCTATCTAACAAACCTCTAAATCCCCACCTTCTAATCCAATTCAAAGGTGTTCCTTCCCCCTTCTTCCTTCTAACTTTTAATACTCACCACATATTTATTTGATTTCAATATTACACCCAGAAATTTCCTTTTTACTGTTTGCAGTGGATAATCGAATGACTATATACAACTGACTACACTAAAAACACTTTTTTTTAAAAAATATTTATATTTTATTGCCATTACATGAACAAAACAAAAACGAATAAGTAAGAATAAGCCTTCAAATTTAATAGTCATAATTTTTTGGTAAAAGGAAAGGAACTTTTTTTTTGGGGGCCAAACAATTTCTAATCTCCTTGGAAATTTAAACTAAATAATAAATTAATATCCATTTAAAAAATAAAACTCATATTTGAAAATTTTGATAACATAATAAATAGATATAATTCAACGGCAGAAAATATTTTTTCATCAAATTATTTATACAAGTTTTAAAGATACAGATATCATTTCATAATGCAAAATATGCCCGCCTTAAATTTTGAGATGATGAATAAAACAATTGCTAGCAATATGCTCAATTATGTTATGTTTTATAATATGTAGAAGTTAAAAAGAACTTATTATATCTAGGTAATTTTCCTTTGAGTACCTCTTAAATTGAAATTGAAAGACTGTAATTTAATATATGCCTACAGGGAAAAAACTCAAAATTCAAGGGGGAGAGAGAAAAAAGAGATTATTAATGCTTTGTAATCTTTCAAAATTTTTTAGAAAATATTTAAGAGTTATTAAAATTATAATAATTTTCAATATTAAAGAGAAACTAAAAAGGCAGCTATGTTTAAAGCCATCAACAAAAACTCATATTGTTTTTTTTGGGACTTCTAAGGAGTGTAAAGGAAATGTTAAAAAAGAGCCATCACATAAAAGAACTTAAGCTTTAAACTTGCTTCAAATGACATTTAAAAATCATGCTTAAAAATTCTCCACATCAGCTTTAAACTATTTTGTTTTCTAACAAACATTTTAAAAATTAAACACCTTCAACCAACAAAGAAAAATATGTACGGTCAAAGCGTGGAATATTTTCAGTAACAAAAATATAAATGTAGAATATACATGGTAAAGTACATATCATAAAGTGTGAAAAAGTTTTTATTACAAAACATCATGGAAAAGTAAAATTTTTCACTTCTGTGAAATACAATCTTAAATATAAAATAAACAGAGCAGAAATCAGCTTGACGCAAGCCCAACTTGCATCGTTTATTTTTTTCAACATAATTGAGCTCAGCTGTTGCAACGCCAGTCTCCCACCAGCTTTTAACGCTGATAAGCAAATCAGGCACAAAGCCACTGTGGCTTACAACCAATGATCAACTATGCAAAACCATTCTTCAAAAATGCTAATTGCCAGTATCATTTTAGCAGTATTTAAATTAATTTCATGTAAATTTCTATATATCCCAAACCCCAAAATCACAAGAACCACATTCTATGAATGTGGCTTTTGCAAGTGTCGATGCCAAAGCCAACTGAATGTTTTATATTATTATTTTTTTAGAGTTTCTGTACAAAAATTGGTCAGAGTTCTATTCAACCAATCCACATACAATGTTGGATTGAAAACGAGTATTTATCCCGCATAAATGATGCACAGTCTTAGCACCAAAAATTTAAAAAATTTATAAATCGTCTAGGTCAAAATCATCTAAGCCATCAGTAACTTCAAGGCTTTGGAAGTCCACCCGGTACCGCAGGATTCCTTTAAAAAAAAAAGAAAAAATTTAAGTCAAAAGAAAAAGCTTTGACATTTTATTCTGAAGCAACAATACAGCACTAATATAAATATGAATAAATTTTCATTGCTTTGTCAATACGACATGTGATAATAAGAAAAACATGACATCAATGTCAATATTTTTCAAAAGAAAACAATTTTGTATATACTTGCATGTAAATCAAGGCTTAATTTTACTGCAGTATATAGATATAATTTTATAATGTCAGACATTAAAGTCAAATGTGAAAAACTTGCAGAATGTAGTCCATACTTAAGATGGTAAATAAAAAGAACAAGGTTAAAGATTAGACAAAGATGATTAAATATGATAAAATTTCAAAACATGAAGTTTATTCATGAAATAGATATACATTTAACTAAATACTGTTTTAAAAAATTACAAATTAATTAGCAACTCTAAATAAATTATCTACATAACCTAGTTACACAGCACGCAAAAAAAAAAAGGGGGGAGGGACAGCTTTACATCTCTCGTTCTCCTGGGCCGATTGACAAAATTTTAATTGCGTTTTTCATGTCTCGAATGTGCGACTTAGGATATATATTAGATTTATACATAACATTGCTCTAACACAGATATTTTGACACAAAATCGGATATTTTTAAATGACATGCCAATTTTTTTCATATTCCGATTCTGCAACACAAATTAAGCCCAAATATTAAATTTTGTGTGAAATTTATGGAGAAATTCAAATATTTATCTTGGCGTACATCTTAATATATGGCAACCTATTTTCCTTTCCCTTACATTGTGCATAAGCTGAAAAGAGTCACATCATTCCTACTTTCAAACAATTTTAACGAAGTGCCTGTGAAAGTAATAATAACATTTGATGTTACTATCACTTTCAACAAATATGGGAAATTTCAAAATGCACCAATATACGAATTCACGGAAATTTTCAATAAAGTCTTAACTTTTTACAGGTATGCTTAAAAATGCATATACTTTAAGATGGTGGTAAAAATTTTATAGATTATAATTCAAAACTTTCAAAAAATTTATAAAAATGATATAAAAATACAAATTTTAAAAATGAATCATAAAAAATGAGTGAATTTAACTTGGAATGAACCTAAATGTGAAAGGATGAAATGAAATGAGTTTAATTAAAAAGAGATATTAATAAATATATATCAAATTCAATTAACACTCAGGAGCTAAAATTTTGAGAGCTAATTTTTTAAAAACTACTCTTGCGATTTTCACAAAACTTAGCAGTTTGGTATAATTTAATTCGTAGAATCGAAATATTGGGAGGGGGGCATGCCGTTTCAGAAAAGTCAGACTTCATGTTAAAATACCTATATTAGAACAATGCTATATATAAATCTAATACATATCCTAAGTTGCACTTTCAAGGCATAAAAAATGCAAGTTTAATTTCGTCAATCTGCACAGTAGAATGGGAGATATAGAACTGTCCTATTTTTTTCTCGATGTACCTACATCTAAAATCATCCAGAAATTAAGCATTTTTAAATATACATATAAATTAACGTTTGCTTTTATAAATAAGTTTTGCAGCTCACACGACTAAATACAATATTTTCGAATTTTTATTACAATCACTTAATTTGATCCCATTTATCCACATCTACTGTGATGACATTAAAAAAGCGAGGAAAAATATTCCTCATACTGTCGATAGAATTTAAAATACATCTATTAACACGCAAAAAATGGACTTTTATAAAAATTGACTCACAATAACAGGAAAGTTTGGTTATGGACCATATCTATGATCATAGCAATTTTTGAAAATTATTCAACTAAAAAAATTCGCTACTGTTATTTCTAAGCTTCGAATATGTAAATAACTGGGACTTTCCAATATGTTTTTGGGCTGCACTCCTTCAACAGACTAAATTTTATATCAGGTTTTTCAGATATTTATAATATGTTCACTTGCAAAAAGATATTAATATTTAATTAAATATTCTAAATTTTAGTTCTTTGGCTAAATTCTTTTTGTAGTTGTTTAAACTTTTATACTCACAAAATCCTGAGTTGGGAAGAAAAACTTTTATTTATCAATTATTTTAAAATATTAAAAATAAAATTAATAATTAATGCATATACACTACTATGTGGTAAAACTCAGTAATATACCTTTAATGATGTAAAACAGAATTAAATATTAACTGAGTAAACATGAAGCAAATTTTCATAAAAAGTTCTACAAATGTCTATAATATACTAGGACTTTATTTTAAAGCTCAATATTAAAAACTGAAAGATCTGCCAGAAGAATTGGGGGAGGGGGTAATGAAAATGTGGGACAGTTACCAACTATGCATTACATATCATTCATGAAAACTAATAGAACCTAATAAAATAAGCTAAAAAGCAGACTAGGCATCAGATCTGGGGATTCTCATTACACGAAAAATAGTCGCATGACAAATCATTGAAAATGAAGAATGTTCAAATTAATTCAAGAGTGCACAAATGATGCTTACCTCCAATTCCACCAAAACCTTTTACAAATTGTGAGCCTTCCTGAGATCGATCAGTTATAATTTCAAGAGTAGCCCCTAGAAAGTAAAAATGATCGTATTACAAAAAATGACACTAAGTAGTCACCGTAAACATTAATCTCTTTACAGCTTTATTTTTGAAATCTCTACTTCTACACTTGTATTTCTAGTTACAAAAATGTTTTAAATGATGCACACATTCAAATTTTGGAATTTTTAAAGTTAGTATTTTGTTAAACATTACAAAATCTAATTTTTCAAAATGTCTTCAACCCTTTAAACTCGTTCAAGGATATTCTTTTGATTTACAAGTGTGTAATATTCTTTAATTTACAATTTTATTGCTTTATTTGCCAAAATAAGTTAAGTTTTCAAATGCTAATAATAAATTATTTGTTTTACTTGTAGTAAAAATAGTTATGCAGTTTTATTATTTTAGAATTATGATTTAACAACTATACAAAAAAATTTATTAAAATAGAAATATTTTTGATTTATGCAAATAATGTTATGACTGGGTTGTGTGCCAAAACTGAAGCCTTCCACTGTTTTCTAGAACATATTCTATAAAATTTGATAAATAAGATCTATGCGGTACTTTTCCATTTGCTGGCGCAAATCTCGCCAAGCAGACTTTATTGGTGACAACACTAAGTATACACATAAAAGAATGTTAACAAATAATAGTTCTAAGAATTTTTTACTTTAAATGCATAAACATTTTAATATTGTTTAAAATTTTGTAAAAAGCCAATAAATAAAGACAATAAATTTTGTAAAAATACATTAATTTAACAATTGACCATGCTTTCATGGTAAAACATCCTGATTCGCCACTTCATATCATGTCGCCCCAAGTGATTGCATCTCACGTAAACTACATTACAAAAACATAATTCTCTCAGTAATTATCTACATTAATTTCAAGTTAAATCTTAATATGGAATACAAATTTAAATGCAAAAATTATTTCAATTAGTACGAATAACCGCAGTGCTTTACTTTGACAATGCATTCTCATTAGAATTGATGAATTTAACCCTTGATTTTGCCTTTTATATATTTTCGCCTTTGGGTGAGCAGTGCGATTGCATTCTAATAGACTTAATTACTGTGAATGGCCTTAGGGCATAAAATTGAACTATCTGGCAAAAATTCTATGTAATTATATGCCAGTACTGAAAGAAACAACCAATCTGATAAAAAATGGCTGGGACTTGTTTTGAAAATGAGGCGTAAAAGGTTACCAGTGAGGATATTCAGTTTGGCATCAGTTGTACCTTTTTGACAACTTTATCGACTGCGTCGGCAAAATGGAAAAGTACCATCTATGTTTTGTGTGTCTGTAGTACACACACAAAACATATCAGACCATATATACGTATAGTTATGAAATGCCCAGCCCTGATAACATAACTTCCTCACAAACAGGTTTAGGGTTGCCAGAAAACGGCAAGGTTTCTAGATTTGGCATGAAACCATCCATTTGGCGAAAAACATAGATGGATGCAGAACATTCCAGAAAAATTACCGGTTTGGCCCAGAATGTTCTGAAAGGCAGACCAGAAGTTATATAAACCCTGCCTATACGCAGAGCAGCAGTGTATCACGAATTAGTGCACGGTAGAGTTTATCTTGAGTGTGCTGAGCTTAGAAAGCGATCGCCAAAGTTGGGAGCTGCACTTTGCTGTGAAGCTGTCTTCACTGTTAGAGACTGAAGGATGTGTTGCTGATTGTTTCAGCATGTTTGTCGTAGTGTTTTTATGACTGTAAATGTGTTTTTCAAAATGACATGAGTAATACTGGCTAAATAGTGTCTTAATTCTTTATCAAGCGTTGTCATCAATCACTCCAAACCACAAGCCTGTAGAACACAACAATACACACATATACAAATATTTATTAAGTTGCAAAATAATGTTTATTACTTGAACTATCAACATTAGAAACTTTTTTCTGAATTGATTCTTTAAGTTATGTACAAATGCTCCTATACATTTTCCTTTTCAATTTGTGCACGGCTTCTAAACAAAATCTCATAAATATCTTGGTAAATGTTTAAACAAGACACTGAAATATTGTTACGATTTTTTGTATTTAGTGCTATTTTTAATAAAATTGTAATTAAAATTATTTCCTTTTCCTGTGCAATCCTGCATGGAATGAGTTTTAAGAAAAAACTATGCTGAAAAAGTAAAAATACAGTAGCATGCACATTTAATAAATAGATATCTCATAATTGTACTCTTTTGCTATCCAGAAAAATCGAGAAATACCAGAATGTTCTCATGCTTGATTAAAAAAATCTCTTCAGTTGTTTACTGTAGCAAATTTGCAGTGCGATCAGATTAGCTTTCTCTACTCTTTTTTTTTTTTTTTTTTTTTTTTTTTTGTGTGTGTGTGTGTGTGTGTTCTATTTAATGATTTAGTAGTTTGAAATACAACATTGTGATATTGTATCATTATCTCTGAGGAAATTTCAGCATTTTGTTTTACTTCTTGGGATTTATTAACTTTTTATCGACTTATGCATTTAATCCATTACGAACACGTATGCACGCAACAATATTTAAGAACACTGCATATTAATCCTGTTATTTCCAAACAAATATAAAATCACATTAATGAAAATAAACAACTGTGGGTCATTAATATAATTTCTACATTACATAAATCATTTTGGTGTTAGAATTTTATACAGTTTAACTTATATTAAAAAAGGTTTTTAAATTTAAATTTGAAATGAAAACTTCTACACTGTATATAACATTCAAATCTGGCATACTCCACACTGATGTTTATTGTGAAAAACATTACAAGTCGGAGAATTCAAACGCTTTGGAATTTTGCAGAATGTCTGCAGATTAGGAGATTTTGTGGATTCTAAGCCATGTCTTTGTGAGATGTGTTTGTATTTTACCCTTTAATTTCTATGCTAAATTTGGATTCCTGGGAAATAATAGAAAGATTCTGCCATCATTTTGCACAAATTTGCAGTAAGATTAAATATGAAATGCTGTATTTATTAGATAAAAATTTACGTTTTTCAGTTTCTGTTCTTCACATTTTTCAGCAAGAAAAATCTTTGCAGCCATTTTTAACAGCTGACCCTTAACTCATGGCCAATATAAATTAAACAGCTATGAGGAATATTTAAATTGGAACTCAATATGATTAAAGTTCCTGCATGGAAAAGGAAGCAAAAGCATTATACATTTGCTCTTTCAGAAAGCCTTAGTAGATTACGTAGGTTGCATATTAACATTTTAATGGGAAAAAACGTTAAATAAATATATAAGTACACTGTATTTCTACTGAATAACAACATTTAATTATAAAATAAAAAATGCTTTTTTTTTTTCTTAAAGTAGTAAAATAATTCTTTTGAAAAACCTGGAATTACTTTATATTAATAAAATGAAACTACTTTTTAAACTTTTAAATGACAACTAAGAGCATAACAATAAGATATATTCAGAACATTTTTGATTATCCGTGCAACTGTAAAAAATTTTCGACTCATCGGTGATTTTGTGAATAGGCCCTCCCTCTCCAAAAAAATTCTCAGCTAGCTTTATGACTAATAGGTATTATTTGGTTCATAAACAATAACAAAAGAAGCACTTTATAAAGAACAAGCAACTTTACGAAAATTGGTCGTCTATTACGAAAATTGTCTAAATTCTATTGGCTGTCGAAATTGGCAAAGCATATAATGAGAGAGCATTCTTTACATACAAATTCTCCATTAATTAGCAGGAAACCTGCTAACATCAATCATAAAAATACTTACCAAAACTTTTATAGTTGTTCGCTAACCATTCTAAAAGAGGCACTGAATCAACAAGTTCTAATTCAACACCTGTCTGTTCAGGGGGAAAAAAAAGGTTGAACCCTTCATCTAAGTATATTCACAGAAATCTTCAAATTTGGCAAAATAAAAATGATCACAATATATAATAAATGCCATTACAAATAAATATAAAAATCCTACAAACTTAAATATAAGAATTATGGATGGAAATTTTTTTTAAAATGATTTATATAACATGTTCCATAAATGGAACGTTGGCGGGAAAGTTTTATAAAACAAGAACGATATTTTTGTCCACAGTCTTCCAGTATTAGTAAGTGAATTTCTAAATGTTATTCAGCAATTACATAGATTAAGCATAAAAATAGGCAGGCTACACCCTTAGAACCACAAAGCTACTCCACCAAAGTTCCTTAGAAGAGATGAAGCTTCCACAGAAAAAAAGCTTTCACAATAAATTAAAACAAAGTTACATAGACGATAAGAAGGAATTTATAAAAGAATTTTACAATAATTGTTAGCAATTTATGTTAACATTTTAGTCGAATGATAACCATAAAAAGGGGACCATCGATTGATCTATACTCAGTTTAGAATGGATGACGCCAAACTGCTGAAAACTGTTTTTCAATTCTTGTGGAAAGGGTGAAACTTTTCCCACTTTATCTCCTAATGCCAATGTGGTTATCTATAATATGGATTCCCCCCTCCAATTTTCTAAATATAATTCTGGGCATTAAAGAAGAAACAACTGGAACAGATAGATCTTCTTGAGTGCTCTGGTATAAATCTTCTCCAGGTACTTGCCGATACTCGCTAGATAATAATCCAAACACCTGTCCTATATCGTTTTCATCTACCACTAAAACTTTTCCTTCCTGATTTACATGAAAACATGTCATATTTGCTACAAGGTAACCAAAAACGTTCTTGCCGTTTAGGACAGTCAGAAGGAAAAAGTCATAAAACAAATAATAATCACCACTAATCCTCCAAGTAATCATTATCAGCATCCAGTGCCTTTTGCCAGGCTAGCTGTACGATGGCATCGAGGTAAAACTCTGGAGTTTTGGACGAAAAGAAGTATGTGAGAGCCTTTTTGGTCTGGCCAGTTGCTGAAGGATTTCCCACGAAGATGGTTGTCCAGGGAATGGGAAAGGTGGTAGTCTGTTGGTGCGAGGTTAGGGAGTATGGTGGATGGGGTAGTGTCTCACAACCCAGTCGCTGGATTGTGTTCCTGACCTCATGAGCCACATGCAGCCTCATATTGTCTTGCATTGCCTCGTTTATATCATACTGTCATGGAGGAGGAGTACACCGTAATGACTGACAAATGCTGGCTCTTTATGCACCAGTGCCTGATGCACATGTTCCAAACTGCTGCGAGTACAGGCCTGCTGTGATGCTTTAGCCCATTGGCAGGAGCTCAGAGCACACCACCTGGCGACTAGTCCACCAGATACAAAGCATGATTCTGCGTGGGTGCAGAGAAGATTTAACATTGTGAGGCACAGAGTCCCGTGGTGACAACCAATGTCTGGAAGTGTTATACTGGACCCACCTTTCATCGATGGCGAGTACTCGATTAAATATGGATGCACTGCGGTGCCGAGTAAGGAATGACAAACAGGCAGCAATACACTGTTGCTTGTTTGCATCGTACAGTGAATGGGGGACTCACTTGCTCAGCTTGTATGCCTTTCCTTGCGGTGCAAATGGAGTCTGATCGTTTCATCAGATACCTGGAAGTGTGCAGGAAGCTCACCACATGTTTGGCTACTGTCACTCTCTATGGTTGCTCTTAAGGCCTCATCATCCAGCACTTGTCAACTAGAGCTGCGTGGTGCATCATTAAGAGACATATTCCCTGATCTGAACATCTGGAACCATTGCCTAGCAGTTCGTTCGTTAACAGCATCATTCCCAAAGGCCTGGCAAATTCGGCAACTTGATTCTGCTGCAGACAGGCCCACTTTAAAATTATACAGCAAACACGCATCTATTTCTATCAGTCGATGTGCGAGTTATGTTTGAAGCACCAATGCAACGCGCTTTTATACTCTTGGTCAATGTCCAGACTCCCATCCTAACCTATTCATTTATGCTAAGGTTAACTCTTCCAATGTCATATCAGAAACAGCACGAACTTTTTTGGTTACCTTGTAAATGCAGCAAATTTTTTGTTGTTATGAACTTGTAAAAAATCTCAACTGCAGATTATAATTCGTGAAACACTTCATAAATATTTTCAATGTCTTTCTCATTGGCCTTTAGTTTTCGCTTCAAATTCCGCCTTCCCTTTGAAGATGAAGGTTCTTGAGGATCAAATGAGATTTCACGAGATATTTCACTAGAAATTTCGATTTTTCCACATATATCCGCTGGCAAAATAGGCTAAAAGATATTTTCATTTACAACTTCCTCATCTGTCAAACATCCACTTTCTTCTGTAGGCAGTTATATCAATACATTCTTCATCCATCTAATAATGTATAAAAACATTCCAATGCCTCTTCAGCAGTCTGAAATGAGACATCAGTATACAGTATGTTCACGAACTGATGAAAAATGCAAACTATGGGATAGTAATGGAAATCTCTAATCATGTGATTTCAATCCCAACTGTAATATACTACAGTACAAAGTCCGTAACCGGGACTTCAGCGATTCCGGATTATAGATCCTCAATTTAAATCTGGTAAGATGGCATGCAGAAATTATACAATTAAAAATATGAAACCGTAATTTATGAAATAAAGAGCAATTATGATCTAAAGGGTATCAAAAGTTACAAAAAAAAAACCTTAATATTTATTTGTTTACTTTATTAAACATTTCTTTCAATGTACGTTGTTTAAATTGCTTCTTTTTTTGTGCTAATACTTTCTCTTTAATTCTATAAACAGACATGATTTCTTGTTCAGTTACAATTTTCCATTGTTCAAGTCCAGTAATTGCCATCTCGAGAATACCAACTAACTTGTCAATCAAAATTTTTTTCGTTTTCAATAACCTCTCTGTCACTTTCTTCACTATCGGAAGCGCGCATGGGTGAACGCTTTACTGGCTTTACGCGCATGCATAAACGTATTACTCGCATACGTAAGTTTGTGGCTTTGAGATCTGGATTATAGATCATTCCGGATAATGGACTTTGTACTGTATATATAGTGTTACATTATTTTCTTTCTTCAGGTTCGTGAAAATTTGGAGTGAATACTGACCATACGACTTAATGAAGTATCGAAACACACTTTATTGGCCAGTATTGTCAGGACAGTTCCAAAAACATGTTTTTACAGTCGTCGGTGAACTATAATAAGCATGCTGACACGATCAGTGACATAGCTTCCAGCTTATCAGGCTATCACGGCGGAGATAACTTCACGGCAAAGCACTAGAGTACAGCTCCCGACTCTTCAGTTCAGTCGTTATCGGAGCTCAACATGCTCTCTCGATGATGCACTAACCACGATACAACCAGACCCTTTCGGTGCACTCGAGGACCCACTCGGCACTTGCTGCCCGGCTGTTAACTCGATCACTCTGCACGGACTGACTCGCTAGACTAGACATCGACTCGTAACTGACTCTCTGCGTACCAGCAAGTTTTATATAGCATTCGATTTGTGTTCGAGAACATTCTGGGCTAAACTGGTAAGAATATGTTCCAGAAAGTTCTCCATCCGTCCATGGCATATTGCCAATTTTGGCAACCCTGCCCTCCTTGCTATTTTATGGCAACCCTAAAACTTCTTTGCGGGGAAGCCATCTTACCCCACCTGTACATTTTGTAACAATATTTTGAATGGCGGGCGCTTGCCTATAATGGCACTGGCTACTACTAATGGTAGAAGTGGTGGCCATTTTATTGTACCTAATAGGCAGCCACCATTACCTCCTATGAAGGGACAGACAATTTTACATCCATACCTTCTCCGGATTCGAACCAAGGTCCTTCAGTTATCACAGTCTGGCTTCCCTAACCGATATACCGTCTGGGCGGCTCAACTGTAATACGCCTTTACAACTGAGTCATAAACAACCTCAAGAAAGAAAATGTTGTCGAGGTATAGTTCATGATGAAAGGCCACATGCTTTTCTTTATCAACTGTGAGTAACCTACTTCAAATCCTTATGTGAATGTGCGACGGAAGAGGAGGAGGGAGGAATACGGGAGTTGAAAACAGATCAACAGTTATAAATATCTTTTCTCAATATTTCCTGAGAACTTTCACATTCAGAAAAATCTTTCCCCTTCTTCTATCGCAGTAATCAAAATAAATTTATCATGTTAAAAAATAACTCTACACGTCAATGATCCCTTTCTGGAAAATCCACATTTCTTAGCTCATAGTAACAAAAACATTTGTTTAATTTTTAATTTTATATGAATTTTTTCATTTTGCTTGGAGAGAAATAAGAAAAAAGGTAACACGATAATTTTTTTTTTTTTTTTATATCAAGATACTATTCGTTTTAGCAACTTTATACTGCTGTTAAAAAAAATCAACCCATATTTTCTCTCTATATAGTAATTTTTACAAAGCAATATGAATAAAATTGTATTTTTTAGAAAGCTTTAAAATCGATGTTCCATTTATGGAATATTGTGGCGTAAAAGGTTAAACATGAATAACCAGGAGTTTTCAAGAGGTTTTTATGCTATGCAGCAACACTATTATAATACAATTTTGATGGTAAATTTAGTCATATATTGTTATATATTCTAAATTATATGCTCTCTGTATAATTTCATGTTCCAGTTTTTTTATATTTGTATAAAGAGCATAAATGAAAAACTTTTATTCACCAGAGTATTTTTAAACACAATGGAAATAAAATTAACAAGTAATGTACATACAATTGAATACATAAATTTAGTTACAAATTGAAATTTGTTGTCATTTGTTGAAATAAAATATTAACTCCTTAAACATCACTGGAGAAGTAAATATTTCCCAGCTAGAAAAATCTTTACACCTTTTTAAGAGCTTATTCTTGTTGTTTAACTTATCTAATAATTGTTATTCGGCGTATTATTTTAACCTC